TTTGCTGCTTAACATAAGCAAAGCTTTTTTCCCTCCAGTGATGTGAATCCAACTGTTCAACAATGCTCCTTTGCATTCTGCCATGACTAAGCCCCCCCACCGTGTCATGAGCAGACTGCCATGCTGTGTGTCCAATTCATCACACGGTGCCTTCAACACTCTGTGCCTGAAGCCCTACAAGGAGATCCAGCTCACAGCAATTTTTAACTTCTAGCAGAAAGCAATTCCTGCTAAATAATGCAAGTAAGTAGATGTAAAGCCTGTGTCTTTACATAATTTGCCACCTAGAGTTTAAGTTTCATTGCAAGTCTGATATAAACACAGCTCATCCCAGGAATATCATCCTATAGGCACACAAATCTACTGCATTAAATTGTTTGAAAGTTTCCTCTATACACAAAAATTATTTTCTTAATCATTTCCTAAGGTTGTGTCTGTCTTGAGCACACTGTCCAAAATATTTTTCAGTCATATAAAAATTCATAACCCCCATGGTGGTTAATAGAGCTCATCACTGCATCTAAGTATTACTAAATATGTATCTTCACCAACTGCAATAGCAAATGCCACCATTTTAAAACTTTTTCACATGATTTTTCTTTTCATATCTTAGTCACATTTCCATTGCATTGAGCAACAGTATTTCTAGTTACATTTACATTTGCACGTGTTTATATCTTTTCAGGACATGCAATTTCCGCTACATTCAGTAGATTCTCTTTTACAACTTGCTATCTGTAAAGAATTTGATGTCCCAGGCAGATTTTTTATTTATGACTTCTTATTTCTTAAACAACCAAGACAAACCTTGTTGACATTTCAATTCTCTCTTCAGCTCCTTAGGTTTTGATCACATGTCTCTTCTATGGCCCTCTTCTTTGTTCTTCCAGTGGCTTGTTTCATAATGGCACCTAGACTGTTTTCTTAAATTACATCTTTTGCCAAATATGCACACAAGAGGGTTCTGTGAGGGACACAGGAGGAACATATGACTCCCTCAGTCTATCTTCCATTTCCTACTTTTCAAAAAGCTATGACTACAAGAAATATGCTACTTTTCTAATACTATAGGGTAGATGTGACTTCACACCACCAAAAACCCAGTTCTGCAAAATGTTATAATTATTTTCTATAATTCAACCTCTGAATCTGGTCTCCTACCACCTGATAAAGGATATGTCCTCTTAGTCTTCTTCAGGAAATCATTCGGTCACTTCCACAAGGATATTGAGGGCCACTTTTCCTGTTGCCCCAAGTAACCCTAGAGCTCATACTATAAACCATAAGGGTAAGTCCCCCCAAAGGACAGTGATTCTCAACCCTGTCCTGCTTCATATAAGAATCACAGTAGGGAGTTTTGAAAATGCCAATGCTTAGCTGTTCTGCAGAATAATTATTCATAATCTTTGAGGATGGGACATGGGTATAGGTGCTTTGCAAAAGCCTTCCAGTCATAAGGGTAATTCTAGGATGTCGACAGGGTTGAGAAAAACAGATCTAAAGAAAGCAGCCAACAATTGAGACCAAATATCTACCTGCAAAGCTTAATAAGAGGCAGCAGTACCTGCACACGGCCAGGACCCCAGCAGCAGCCCTCCACCTGAGTCTGCATATATAGAAAGATTAGGGAGAGAGACGGGGGACCTACTGGAGTTATGGGCAGCAGAGTGAAGCGTTGCTGCAGAGCCTCCTCAAGACTCACATGAGATCTTCACAAGACAGCCAACATATGGATGTCTGGCGCCCGGAAGGCAAGGAGGGCCAGATGGTGTTGGCCAGGGGAGCAGCAGCAACACAAGAGAGTGCATTTACAACAGCAGCCAGGGAAATAAAGAGACTCTTCTGCCTGTCCTCTCTCTCACACACCCAGCCAAAAACTGAAGAGGGAGAGATGGGTGTCTCTGGGTCCACCTTGTCTCCTCCCAATCCTACCAGATGGGGTCTCAGCTAAAACTGTGCTTGGGGAAAGGCAGAAGATAATACTTACACCAAATATGAAACTAAACTGGACTATTAATAACCAAAAGAAGACGAACATTTGAAACCTGCCCAGGACATTACTATTGGATGGGAAGCACAGAGTGGGGCACTGAAACTGGAGGAGGGAAACATGTTGTGTTTATCCCTTCTCCTTTCTCCTTCTTGTCTTCCATGAGTGACATCTCTGCTCCTTGGGAGTCACTCAAAGATTTGGCATGAAGGTGGGATGTACAGTCTATACTGTGGTCATTCCTCTGTCCTTACGTTGACATCAGTTCACATGTCCACACTTTGATGTCATGCTTGCAAAGTCTCCTTGATATGGCCACTAGACCCCATGGAATCCAATAACTCCCTTAGCAGATTTCCAAACTCCTTTTGTGAACACAAGGAAGGTTGAACAGCTCTCCCAAGTGTGGACGGGCTGCAGGGGACTCAGGGGCTCTCTTGCAGTCTAACTGCCTTTGACATCCCCATGCAACCATGAGCAGTGGGCCAAGGTGTGAGACCCCTTCAACAGAGATCCTTACCTTCTCTGGCTCTTTCCTGCCTCCTCTTCTTTCATTCCTCTCCAACTGGGAAAGCATTTTCTAGTCTACATGGTGGTGATGGAGAGAGATGTGAAAGAAAAATGTTTCTCTGACCACCTATTCTTCCAATCTGTTCTATCCTATGCCTGGACCAAAGCTTTTAAACTTCATAGCCAAGAATTTGAAACTTGTTTCTTGAAGACCCCATGAGAACTTCTGTAAACTAGGCTGGGCGCAGTGTCTCACATCTGTAATCCCAGCATTATGGGAGGGCGAGGCAGGTGGATCACTTGAGGCCAGGAGTTCAAGACCAGCCTGACCAACATGGTGAAACCCCATCTCTACTAAAAATACAAAAATAAGCCAGGCAGGGTGGCAAACACCTGCAATCCCAGCTACTTGGGAGGCTGAGGCATGAGAATCCCTTGAACCTGGGAGGGGGAAGTTTCAGTGAGCTGAGATCGTGCCACTGTGCTGCAGTCTGGGTGACAGAGCAAGACCCTGTTTCCAAAAATAAAAATAAAAAAAGAACTTCCCTGAAGTAGAGATGATGCCTCCATTCTAGCTCTCCAAATGAGAAAATATGGAATAAAAATGAATTGGCCCCACATAGCTGTAAAGGTGGCGCTGTGAGTGGCTTGGAGTTGTCAGCCTAGACTGCCAGCTTGCATACAGCCTCAGCAACAGTCCCACACCCCAGTGGCTGATTCCCTCCCTGCTCCTCTTGCCTGAGCTTCTGAGGCTGCAGGCAGACCCTGCCCAACATCTCCTTCTGTTCCCACCTCTTAAAATCAGAGAAAAGCATGAATGAAAACCAATAGAAAACAGTACCAGAACAATGGAAGTCAACGATTGTGTGCCAGAAATTTGGGGAGATATCATTTATTACAAACTTGCATATGTTGGGACAAAATAAACCAAACAGTGAGTTTGATGCTTCACAACACGTGAAAGCTGCTGACAAATGCTACTGTCCTCAATTAAGAGAACTAACCAAAGTTCATGAGTCTCTTACAGGAGATGCAGAACCTGCCAAAAATCTTGTTTCCAGTTCTGACTATTATGAATAAAGCTGCTGTGAGCATTTTTGTGCAAATCTCTGTGTTGACATAAGTTTTAATTTCTCTAAACAATGCTTTCTTAATTTTGAAATGTATTGCTTTGCCTGATGCTTATTTCTATACAAATATGATCTAATAACATAAGGCATTTTAAAATAATAATCAATCTCTGACTTCCTTATTTAGTTAATTTATTTATTTTTGAGACAGGGTCTGGTTCTGTCACCCAGGCTGTAGTGCAGTAGCTCCATCTCAGCTCACCAAGACCTCCACCTCCCAGGCTCAAGGATCCTCCCACCTCAGCCTCTCGAGTAGTTGAGACCACAGGTGCGTGCCACCATGCCCGGCTAACTTTCTGTATTTTTTGTAGAGACGGGGTTTCACCATGTTGCCCAACCTGACCTCAAACCCCTGAGCTCAAGCAATCCTCTTCCTCAGCCTCCCAAAGTGCTAGGATTGCAGGCATGAGCCACTGAGCCGAGCCAACTTCCTTATTTTAAATAAAATTAATTTGGGGTGGGGAAATCCATTTTTATCATTCATCCATTTATGTTATAAAAAAATATAATGGACCAAGGCCAGGGATGGTGGCTCACACTTACAGTCCCAGTATTTTGGGAGGCTGAGATGGGAGGATTGCTTGAGCCCAAGAATTCAAGATCAGCCTGGCCAACATGGTGAAACTCTGTCTCCACAAAAAATACAAAACTTAGCCAGGTGTGGTGGCATGCACCTGTAGTCCCAGCTACTCAAGTGGCTGAAGTGTGGGGATCACTTGCACTATGGAGGTCAAGGCTGCAGTGAGCCATGATTACACCACTGCACTCCAGCCTGGGTGGCAGAGTGAGACCCAGTCTCAAAAAGAAAAAATAAATCAAATAAAAATAACAGGGCAAGCACACTGAAAAATGATAACTGGCACTCAGCTTCTGTGTCAAGAAGACACTAGGAATTAGTATTGTCAACAAACTGAAAAGTATATGCCTTGTTTAAAATGGGCAGCCACTACTCAGCTTCAGCCAATTCACTATGCCAAATCTTCTAATTTTTCAAGAGAAGATAGATTTTTTGTGTGTGCATATAAGTAATCTCCTAAGTTTAAATGTTGGCCAATAGAACCCCTCAAAAAAAAAAAAGTTACACGCTGGTGGATTAATGCTGTATAGCATTAGCCAATGCAAAGTAAAAAGACTACAGGCCAAATCTGACCCAAGGCTCATTGGTTTCTAGCTAAGATTTTGGTTCTCAATCCTGACTATGAGCAACAAGACCTTTTGGTTTTTTTAAAAGATAGCATGGCTGAGCCCTAGTCCAGATTCTGATTTCCTAGATTTGTATGAGTCCTGGGCATCTACCATTCTGGTTCACAGCCAGGGTTAAAAGGTAGGAAATTAAATTTCAAGTTATAGTACCTTATCATATTTCTGAACTTCAACACCAAGTCCAGAACACTGAATTCTCCCCAGGCTCATTCTACCTGATTCTGAGCTCAAATAGTCATGTGGGATCTCAGTAAGCTGAAATTGATGATACGTACACAAACAATAAAAACTGGGACTATGGAGACTTCCTTGTCTCCAACTTGAATGGCATCCAATTTTGGCTTTTCTGTATACTATTTGAGGACATTATAATAGCAGGCCTTTTTGGAAGAAACTCAATTCTAAGTAAAAGATGTTCATATATGAGCGTATGGGAATTTCTTATTCACAAACATGGTAACCATCAAAATAAAACTCTCTCCCAAAATAAGAGAGACAAGAAAAGAAGTGGAGAAAACAGATTCTAAAAGCTGTATGAGCTTTTACAAATAATTTAGCAGGTAACAGAGATCTTGTGAGACAAGTAAAAAGGCCTTGTATTCATGCCTTATCAGGTAAATGTGGACTTAAAGTAAATAAGGTAGGAAGGTATTGAGCTAGAAACATGTCTCAAATTATTTCCAGTGAGCTTCTGAAAGCCCAAGACAAATGTATCTTTATGAAAAATTGAGACAGACCCAGTAACCAGATCCTCTCATTATTTGCATGTGAAACCTCTAACTTGTCGTCATGTGATAAACAAATGGAGAAAAATTGGAAATAACCATTAATGAGAGGGGCGGAAATTACAATAACATTGAGCAAGGGTCAGAAGATTGCAGAGCAGTTACCCGTTCTTGGCACAGAAACCTGAAAGTCAGGATCAAAGAGAATGGCAACCATGAACACAGATGCCACAGACAAAGACATATCTAGGTTCAAGGTCATCTTCACCTTGGTGGTCTCCGGAATAGAGTGCATCACTGGCATCCTTGGGAGTGGCTTCATCACGGCCATCTATGGGGCTGAGTGGGCCAGGGGCAAAACACTCCCCACTGGTGACTGCATTATGTTGATGCTGAGCTTTTCCAGGCTCTTGCTACAGATTTGGATGATGCTGGAGAACATTTTCAGTCTGCTATTCCGAATTGTTTATAACCAAAACACAGTGTATATCCTCTTCAAAGTCATCACTGTCTTTCTGAACCATTCCAATCTCTGGTTTGCTGCCTGGCTCAAAGTCTTCTATTGTCTTAGAATTGCAAACTTCAATCATCCTTTGTTCTTCCTGATGAAGAGGAAAATCATAGTGCTGATGCCTTGGCTCCTCAGGCTATCAGTGTTGGTTTCCCTAAGCTTCAGCTTTCCTCTCTCAAAAGATGTCTTCAACGTATATGTGAATAGCTCCATTCCTATCCCCTCCTACAACTCCACGGAGAAGAAGTACTTCTCTGAGACCAATATGGTCAACCTGGTATTTTTCTATAACTTAGGGATCTTCATTCCTCTGATCATGTTCATCCTGGCAGCCACTCTGCTGATCCTCTCTCTCAAGAGACACACCCTACACATGGGAAGCAATGCCACAGGGTCCAGGGACCCCAGCATGAAGGCTCACATAGGGGCCATCAAAGCCACCAGCTACTTTCTCATCCTCTACATTTTCAATGCAGTTGCTCTATTTCTTTCCATGTCCAACATCTTTGACACTTACAATTCCTGGAATATTTTGTGCAAGATCATCATGGCTGCCTACCCTGCCGGCCACTCAATACAACTGATCTTGGGCAACCCTGGGCTGAGAAGAGCCTGGAAGCGGTTTCAGCGCCAAGTTCCTCTTTACCTAAAAGGGCAGACTCTGTGACTGGAACTCAGGGAGGACTGCGGGACCTGGTCCAACCACTTCTGCCTTTTCCTCAGGTAGAACTCTCTCCTCACCCATCTCTTCTCTCCCAAACCTGCTCTGACACTTCTCAGAAAACGTGACCCTTTTATGAATATGAAGCTGAATTTTTAACTTGAGATTCTAAACAGTAGTAACTAAGAAACCTGAAGATGGACTTTGAAAGCTCCTTGAACTATGTTCATTCATATCCTGCCCTGAGATCTCTCTGCTTTCTTCTCCTCCTGAGCCTTAAGGAGAGGGTGGCCAGACATATCGGTTTGCCAGGGACAATTTCTGTTTATTGTCTGTTGTCAGTTGAGCACCCTTCAATTCTCAAGAATATCATGGTCTGGATGAAGAATTACATGATCATCCTACTTAAGACACCCAACTAACACACAGTTAGGGCTGGTGAAGCAGAGCACAGCACTCAGTCCACGGGGTAGAAGGGAAACCAGAGTGGCTACAGAGAAAGAAGATTCAGGAAAGAAAGGCTGCCAGAAATTATCAAGTGCTGCAGAAGTTCCAAGGAAAGTAAAGGGTGAAGAAAAAGGCTTTGGATTTGACTGCAAGCAGGCCATGTGTGCTATTAGTGGAGTGATAGGGTAACATCCTGATCCCAGGAATTCCAGAAGATGATGCCAAAAGGGAGGGGATGGGTAAAAACCAGTAGTCTAGAAAGGATGTTTGGAGATAAAGATGAGTTATAGAATGGCAGATGAATATGTGAAGGGTCAGTTCAATGCTTTATTTCTCCAAATGGGAGGGGACAAAGTGAGCAGAGAGGAAAGAAAGAATGCAGGGAAAAGAGTGAAGTGGGCAGGAAGCAGAAAGAGAAAAGAAAGAGGCTGGAGTAAGTGAGCGTCTGTTTTGCTCAGTTCCCGACCTGTGGCAATGCCAGTGGCACCTGTGCCTCTGGTTTTACCAGTTCTGGGTTACCTTGAAGTAAACAGTGGGGCAAGAGCGGGTTACTTGGGGCAGACTGCTGGAGAAGAGGAAAAACATTATTCTCTGTTATCATTCTTCAGGATGGTTCCAGCAGCATTGTCTCAAAGAGTTGTTCACAAAATATTGGACACCCCCTCCCCAGATATCTTAGAGCTTGAACGTTAGGAATCTGAAGTTGTCTTTTATTAGGTAAGTTTTAAATCATGATTATTGAGGAAAATGTAAAAAGAATGCTGCGAATCATACCAAACTTAGGTAGTCCCCAAATGAAAGTATAAGGTCAGTAGCAAAGTCTAGTTCTGAGCCCCAGGGCTCTCAAGCACACATTTCAGAGAGAGTTCCTTACATCCATAAACTGCAAAAACGGCATACACACAAGGCATACACACACACGGCATACACACACAGCATACACACACACGGCATACACACACATACACACACACAGCATACACACACATACACACACACAGCATACACACACATACACACACACAGCTACAATACTTCAGGACATGGTCTTATATATTGCCTGTGTGAGTTGTTCATGCCAAATATTGGACACTTCCTGAGAGATCAGAGCTTGAAATGTTGTAATCTAAAGGCCTTACAAAAGCTGAACTGCTGATTCATGATAAAGTGAAAGACACAAGAATGTAATAAACTAGGTAGCCCTGAAATGGCAGTATGGGAGGTCAGGTGGTGGAAATGTCTGATTTGTAGGCTTCAAGCACATGTACTTGAGAGAGTTCCTTAAGACTATAACTGCAATTGCAGCACAAGGTATACACACACACTGTGGCATACACACACATACACACACAGCATACATGAATACACACACATACAAAGAGTACAGGCATATGAGGCACACATGACAGTAATATATGAACACACACATACACACACACAGCATACACACACATACACACACACAGATTCCTTTATAGTTCAGACAGTTTGAGACTTACCTACCTTAAAAGTCAAAATATTAAGAAAACACATACTTTTGATAGTTTTCTTAAGCTGTAGTTATTTATATGACTATTTCAGGCGGTATTTGTTATAGTAAGACAAATTAGATTTTGAAGTTTTATTCCAATCCCTAGAATAGAGAAATATACACTTTCCTCCAAGTTATTTATGTGGATAAAAAGGCCATGTACCCACTAAGGGTTCTCTGATGCATTACAGAGTTAGAGAGAAAATTGATTTAAAGTTGCCATTATATTAACATGAACCACGTCAAGACCACGAAGTGGATAACTCCTCTCCATGCTTACTATGAAGAAATATCATCTCATTGCTAGCAACAGCCTAAGGCAGCAAATAGCTAACAAAAGCTCCAAGGATGATAATATCTTTATCAATGCACATGTTGCCCTGCCTTCAACGAGATAAAATTCTCTCCAATTCTCTTTCTTCTGTACATAAAACCCCAGTATGTAAAATTCAGAAAGAACCAGAATACCTAGTCTTCAAGTTGTCTGGCTTTAGACAGCAATCAGAAGTCCTAAATGAAGACAATAATTGACTCTGCTGGACAAAAGTCTGTAACCAAATGCAAAGCCCGGCTTGCTATGGTCTCAATATTATTACAGGTTTCCACCTTGCAAACTCTACATCATCTCTCTTGCCCCACAGCCCTCTGGGATGTTGAAAGTGATAAAGTGAAGGATTCCTTTACCCACAAAGTCACTCTGAATATTCATCTAGAATGTGGAGCAGGTAAGGGGATTTTGGTTAGCAAGGGATTCCAGTCTGGCAGGCCCAGCCCAGAGGCAGGGTGTCTGGCTTCTTTCCTCATACCTGGTCGAGTCCTTGCAAATAAAGGCTAGACTGGCAGCCATGGCCAGTCTAAGGGCTATAACTTTATGGGCACCAGATTGTCCCACAATCCAGTATCGTCTTCTCCTTCCAACTACTTCAGTGTCTGCTAAAATTCCACTGTGGTTCTGGCTTTTCTTTGCTTTTATTCTACAGGAAATATGTTATACTCTGAGGCATTCTTTACTTGGGGCAGCAGGGAAGAAACATCTATGTAATAAAAAGAAAAAAAAACTGTAAGTCCAATCAGTCTAAAATGTCTTGTGCTGGAGAAGGGGAGCAGAAACCAAGGGCTAACGAATTATGTCTTGTTGAAGACTGGGCAACATTTGCATTAGGAAAGATCATAGAAGGAAAAAAAAAAAAGACACTGAGAGAGGAAGCCCTCCCATCTGTCTTACGTTTTCTCCCTCTCCTCTGGACACAAGGAATAAATAAATAAATAAATTTATATATATATATATATATATATATATATATATATATATTTTTTTTTTTTTTTTTTTTTTTTAAAGAGTCTTGCTCTATCGCCCAGGCTGGAGTGCAGTGATGCCATCTTGGCTCACTGCAACCTCCATCTCCCTGGTTCAAGCGATTCTCCTGCCTCAGCCTCCTGAGTAGCTGGGACTACAGGCATGTGCCACCACGCCCAGCTAATTTTTGTATTTTTAGTAGAGATGAGATTTCACCATGTTGGGCAACATGGTCTTGATTTCCTGACCTCGTGATCTGCCCACCTCAGCCTCCCAAATTGCTGGGATTACAGGCATCAGCCACCGCACCTGGCCAAGGAAAATCTTTAGAAGAGACGTAAGAGGAGGAAATTTCTTATGTACTCAGAAAGATTTGTTTGGGGGAGAAAGAGTAGGACAGAAAGGCTAAAAAGCCAGTCTGTAATGTTTGAAGGCTAGGGGAACTCTCCGCACCGTTTTCTAAATGGGGGAAGAGTTGCCTAAAATAGGAGAGGCAAAAGTTTCAGGGAAATGCTCAAATCAAGTGTATGCTGGGAAGAGGTAACATGTTACACTGCTGTAAGTTTCTGTTGATAGGAGGAAGACGGAAGCATTTTGGAGCCTGTGACATGGCCCAGGAAGGGCAGGCCTGGGCAGAAAATGGGAGCAGACAGCAGAAAATGTGTGGGGTGAAGGGCTGGGGCAGTGGGAACCTAAAGGGGAAGATGTGGAGGTGTTGAGTGCTGAGGTTAATCTTGGCCACTCTCAGAGAGAAGCTCGTAACCGACAATTCTGCCTAGGCCTGTGGGGATTACCCTGCAAGCAGCAGAACAAAAAGTTTTACAAGCGCTTTCAAGAGGAGCATTTCTGGGTTGGACTCTTCTTTCCCGGTGTGGCATTGCAAAGGTGCTCTGTGTCTGTGGCGCTAGCCCATCAAACAATCTCAGTAGGAAGAATACAGATTTGCAAAAAATTTTCCTGGTTTGTCTCTCATTTGGTTTTTCTTTTTTTTTTTTTAGCAAAGTGTCTTATAAATGTTCCACCCTCTTTCAGACGCATCAAGAAAAAAAGAGAAAAGCGGTTTTGAAGATAGCCCAAGAAAGAAAAGTACCAGCCATCCCCTAGGTTTAGTGTGGCAGCAGTAGTAGGAGGGGATCCAAGGCAGGGTGGAGCATTAACAGAAAAACCTGCATCCCCTCAACTTCCACACCCCCACCCGTGCAGTTCCCGGAGTCATGAGACTGGGTTTGGGTCCTGGCTCTGCCACTTACTGGTGTGCAAATGGGCATGTTATTGCATCTCTTTGAACCTGAGTGTCCACCTCTGTAAAATGGGAACAATAATGAGACATACCAGGCTCCTAGGTTATCTCATCCTGAGAGATGAATGGGGTAAAGTGTTTAGCACACAGCATCTGACCCAGAATAAGCAGTCAATAGATGTTAGCTGTTAGTATTCTAAAAGGAAGTGGAGTGAGACTGAGAGGCATCTAGAATGAGGATATTTAAAGCAGGCCAGATATGAAAAGTACAGACCAGATTGGGCCAGATGCACGCAGAAGGCTTAGCCTTTATAGTCCCAAAGAGTTGGTGGCAGAACATGGTCACAGATCCAGTAGTTCAGTCATCCAAGTGGCAGGTGAAAAGTATAGGGTGGCCTTAAGAATTGGATTCCTGTTCCCTGCCTATGTCAAAAATGAAAGACATCTAGTATTCCACAGTTTAGTTGCCCAACAGTTATCTGAGTGTCTATTTGAACCTAGCAGGCACTAGGTTAGGGGTCAGCAAACTTTTTCTGTAAAGGACCAGAGAGTAAATATTTTAGGATTTGTGGGCCACATGCAGTCCCTGCCAGAAGAATTCAACTCTTCTGTTGCAGCACAAAAGCCACCATGGTGATTCAAAAAATAAATAAATGGACGTGGGTTTGCTCCAGCAAAATTCTGTTTATGGACACTGAAATTTG